ATTCACCAGAGTTGGCTCATTTTGAAGGTATTCCCATTAGTTAGTCCTTAAATCCCTACACAGAGAGCAGAAGCTTCCAGATAAGGTGCTGCCAAACAGGAAACACAAAATACAATCCAAATTCTAAGTCTCAGAATCATCCAGGAAGCTCAAGGAGAATTAATGGAATTACTGAGCCCTCTGCGAACAGAGGAGAAAAGAGAATAAATTAATAAATATACATGTACACACTTGTGTCAATTTGTCAGGGGCTCTTCCTTTTCTTTGTTTCCATGAATGAAAACTGAAAACAACAACTCATCCTAAATATCCCTTGTATTTACCCAGCACTGTCAAAATTCATTTCCCAAGAGTAGGATCCATGATTAACTTTAGTGAACCTCTGGTCAAAATGCTGGTACCTATGTATATTTGAGCATCCCAAATGGACTTTATCAGATAGTTCCTCCAAATTAGATACTCTGGGTCTATACATCTCAAAGTGTGGTGAAGTCAGATTGCTCCATCAGAACCACCTCAAATATTCGTTTGAAGCATGAATTCCTGGGTCCCACCTGGAATGATTAAGTCAGTGTCACTAATTATTGATCTGAAGTTGTATATGATAAATGAGATGCTCAAGTGATTCTTCTTCATACTTTAATCTGAGAACCCCACTTCTTCATTGGGTGTGGAGACCGGAGTGGGAGAGAGCTGGAGTTCCTAATCCACCCAGATATTCATCTGTCTACAAACCCCCAGTGAGTGACTCAGCTTTCCTGAGAAATGAATTTGCAGGGACCTACACCAATTCTGCATCAAATGTACTTACGTTTTTATCAGATAAGAGCTGCCACTGTGTAATGTAGTTGTACACTGATTAATTTTATTTCACAGTTTTCTGTGTGCAAGAATTTCTTATGTTCGGCTTGTATTCTACAAATAAAATTGGGACTTGATTAGGATTCCCCCTTTACCTAAGTCTCTGCCAAGGTGACTTACATATTATCAAAGTATATATATATATATATGGTGGTGGTGGTGGTTTAGCAAGGCTGTAAAAAATAAGTACTCTGAGGTGACATAAATTTCCCCAGAGGAAGGAGAGCGGGAAGACGCAGGAGACAGGCTGCCTAGTCTCCCAGGACATTGGCAGTGAGGACCTGACACAAATGGACATCTCCATGGAGGCTCTTTCACTTGTGGTTGTGGACAGAGCTACTTTCCAACAGACCCCTATCCACAGAGAGCCACGGTTAAGATTCTAGCATTTGCTTGAGACCCCAATCCTCAGGCTGGCCCCCCTCCYTCCTTCAGGGGTGCCCCTTTGCCATGAAGAGGAGAATGTCTGGGCCCAGGCACAGAAGCAGGGGTGGTTAACATCTCCATGTCCAATTGAAGGGCGTGGGGGGCGGGACAAGGGACTTCCAGGAAAAGGGAAGATCAAGTGGGAACCCTTGGCGCCTGGGAGGGGACAGTGCAGCTCAGGAGGCGCAATCTGGGCTGCGCCTGTGTCTGACTTGTTCTTTTTTTCCTTTCCTCTCCCCCATGGAGGGGTGGGGAGGGATCCCCAAGAGGGAGGTTGTCCCAGG